TATCCCATATCTACTAAAAAATATATATTTAAGAATAATTTCTTTGAAAGTATTGATGTCATACTTTTTTCGGGGAAGAGATCTTTTATTTAATTTCGAATATCTATTCTAAGAAAGCATTATAATATCATGTTAAATTCTCCTCTTGAGGCAATAATTACATTTTAATCAATAAAAATTTTTTTATATACATTAATTGAAAAATTTTTAATAATACTTAATTTTTCGTGATTCTTTCAATAATTTTATTTAAGAATAATTTATATTGAAAAAATAAGTACAAAAATAATAGGACGAGATTATAAATAAATAAAAATTTGTGTTAAAGAATGTAGATAATATTCGTTCACATTAAAGTGTCGTTAAATAAATATTTTTGAAAGTTGAAACATTTCACTTATACCTATTAAAAATATTTTGACAGTTATCTACTCTTATCTACTTTTTTTTTTTAAATTTTTATTTATTACAATTTTTCTATATTCGAATTGGCTTATTATTTTTTTCCCAACATAATGATTTCAGAGAAAAATTAGAGATGTACGTTTTACATTTAAAATACATGATATTTGGTAATTTTATGCCTTGAAAGATTCAATATTTTAAATATACAAAAATAGTCACTTATATATTCTAAACATAATTCTTAATTTAGAATATATAATGTATATCTAGAACATAATGTATATACATGTATAAGCAATTCCGACGTGACTTAAACCAATAAAAATAATAAACGCTGTATTGCGAAAGAATGAATTATACTATAGAGCCATCCGTTACATCAATCTTAAACTCACGTTTGCGAGAGAATTGTTTTGCAGTTATTGCAGATTTCGGTTATTACGGTTCATCTTATACGCATAAAACGGGAATATGAGAATACAAAAAGGCGCCTTCCGCTGATATTCTCTTTCCATTTCAACAGTATCGAATGCACAAGTGCTTTTTGCCCTTTGCGCCGGCATTCTATCGAGTGCATATTGCGCGCCTCGTGCATTCCATTGATTCTCCGACAAAGCGCTCTTGTTCTTTAATTCGGTTGACAGGAAACAACAGGAAAGGAAACTGAATCATCTGGTAGCATTGTCCTTTTGTTCGCCCATAGTGGCTGAATAGGAATATAGTCGAGGTTTTTTCCTGTCATCGGCGAAGCTTCGACACATCATGAGCCGAATTAACCTTTTTAGTATATCCGCAACAGTGGCAGACACGCTTGACGCTTTTAAGCGACATTCGCGTTTCACGGATTTACCGTCGTCTGTTCGACTCAAGTGCTATCGCCGTTTTAAGCTTTTCAGTGTCAATTGATGCATATGAAATATTCAAGAAATGTACAGAACGAATATTTACATACGTTTTGTTTGTTTAAATTTTAAATGTCATAAAATTTGCATATCTAAATATAAAATATAAAATATACTCTCTTTTTGGTATTATTCACTACTGATAATCGATAATAGGTAATCAATTTATTTAGGTAGAGGAAAAATGATAAGTAGCAACTATATTTAAACAGTAACATAGTATATTTAACAGCTTTTGCCTTGCCAATACAAAATGCATTACCGATTTTGACTGTATACATATTGTTGAAAATTAATATGAAACAATATAAATACCCGAGAATTTACATTTAATTGGTGAAAATATAAACGTATAAAGAGTGCGTGCGTATGTCAGATCTCCAGTTTAACAAAATGCAACATAATACCAATTATTTCAATATTATTAAATATCATGCTCATTTATATCGCATTTATATTGCCCATGAACACATGCGTTTTGCGCAATATTTATAAAGTTTTACACGTGTGTTACTTTTATCGATAAAATATAATAGTTGTACAATTGCTTCATAATAAGTATGTTTATCTTACTTTACATCCAATTTGGTAATAATAATGCAAATTGCGATAACTATCAAGAAATGAGAACACTTAGTCAAATTATTGCATCGCTTGATAAAGCATTCGTCATTTTTGTATTGTAAAGAAAAAATAAAAGTCAAAATTTAAGTTTTTTTTTAATACAATCGATTAATAAAACTATTTAACTATTTATTTTTACACATATTTGTTAATACATATACAATCATAGATATATTCTGTGAAAAATAGATATTTTTTTTATTTGCCGTTGAACTCTTATATGATTTTAGTTATAAATTTATAAAGTGTTAATAATAACACGCGCCGATCTTTTTACACATTCATCAACCTCGTTGGTTAATTAATGTATATTTAATTATGCATCTAACAGCTAAACATAGCGTTCATGGTAGGAGCTATAGCGTGTAATAATAGATATTAAATTTCAAGCACATCCGATTATACCCGCAGATGTATTTACGATAATCCCTCCAAATAATAATGGGCGCGGTCGTCTAATTCGTTTTCATCATTACCGAAGAATTAATGATTGTGTGTAAGTACAGTTTCAATACGCATATAGTAACATTTCACAAACATTTTGTCTCTTTCTATCTATTTTAAATATTGTTTGAAGTATAGTTATGCAATAAAATTTATTAATTAATTATTTATTTAAAGAATACTTATTAGTATACAATTTTTAAATGTCCTTTATTAAGATATATATATATATATATATATATATATATATATATCTTAATAGAGAATTTATTTAAAAATTGTTTCTCAAAGAACAAGCGTCAGTATAAAGTATTAATCAAGTAGTACATTATGCTAGTCCAGGACCAAGAGATTTTAAAATATTCCCTTGCCTTCATACGCCCCTGGCCGTACGCAGTATCCAGTGGACAAACATTCCATTCCCGGAGGACAATCGTTATTACACTGAAATATTTAAAATATGATACTTGAAAGTATTATTTAATATGATTAATTAACGTTAATTATAATTATTACAAATACTGAAAAAATATAAAATATAAAAATTTAATATAATATCTCTTAATATCCTTATATATAAAAAATATAAAAATTTTATATATATAATTTAATTTTAATAAATCTATTATTTCTTTTTCTTGTTCTATCTCTCTTTCTTTCAATATGATACGTACAAAATAATTTCTCGTATACAATATATTGCATAATAAATAACAAGCAACAAAACATTGCATAAAAAATATAAATATAATAAGTATAAAATACTTACAGGTCTTATATATATATTTTTCCATACAATTTGATATGATAATTATATATCGTGAAGCGAAATATATAATATTAAATTACATGATTATAACATTAATGACTTTGATTAGTGCACACTAAATTATTATACTAATAAAAAATTTAGACATATACATATTACAATTTTGAATGATAATATACTTACGAATGTATGATAAGCCGTGACTAAAGTCATTGCGAGTAATGTAAAACAAAGAAGCAAAACGAGTTTCCCCATCTTAATAGTATTCACTGATTTCTTTTAAAAAACTAAAAAAATTGAAAGTTAAAAAGATAGAGAGAAATATTTTAAATTAAAACTAAATGGATGCTCGTATATTCTCACCTGCTCCTCTTCAAAATATTCTGTGAGTCTTTCCGATAATTTCTCAGCTTATATATAGACCGATATATGTACAAGTATACAATATATATGTAGAATTATAAAACAATAATCTTTTCAAATGTCTATACGTATACACCTTGATGATCTTAATAAATCTTATGTTATTTATGTGCGGCTCAGTGATAATATCATTGTTATCAGCTTTCATCAATGTATAAATAGTGTGCGATTCAAACGAATAAATGCATAACGTGAAGCTGTACGCATTCTAGAGGATGTTTATACAAAAATTTAAAAAAAAATTACCTTCTGCAAAATAATATCGTGATAACAAAAGCCCTCATGACTTACAGTAACGCAATCACGTCATTTTTGTTTATTGGATTTTGCGTCAGCCACGCAATATATTCATTGCGATCGAAATAACTGATACTCCGAAAGATTTCAGTATTTATAAGGCATTTAACTTTATTAAATCTAATATATGCACACTTATTATTTATATTAAGACAGGACTTGGACGCAAAAAGAATCATTTTCGTCAATAAAATATTATTAAAATTGATAATTAATATCAAATAAATTTCTCGGTATTTTTTTTGTTTCTTTTCTTAAGCGTAAATTGTTTTTTGAATCTATTATTTTTAATCTAATCATCAGAATAAGAACACGTATTCTTGTTTTCTTTGTTCAAAGCATGATAAGATGAGTAAACCAAAAACGAAGACATAATGTTTATCATAATGTTATCATAAACAGAAATTACTCTAGATTTAATACAAAACCATAAAGATAACAGAAATAAATAAATTTATAAGAACATACAGCAATAGTTTAATAATGCTACGGAGAGAATCAAATTTTTATTTGGATCAAAAAATTAAATATCATTAACTCAATATGTCTCACAATAATACATTTAATGTATACTAGTAATGTATACTAAACATGTTAAGCACATAAGATAATCTAACTAAAAATAAATTATTCTATACATCGGTATCGTTAGTTAGAATTATTAGATGTTATCACTAAAATCAGAATTGGTTTAGCATTAATGTAGCTAACAGTTTGCAGTCTTTAATAATCATTATTTTGTTTCCTCGCTATAATGTTATTATTTTGATATTTGGCTGCGATTTCGAGAATGATGCAAAATATAATCGTTTTGTCCATAGCCATCGTATGCGAACGTTACGGGTGCGCAGGATGATTTGTACATTCCCAACTTTTTATAGTTATGCAATAACATTTATCACTTAATTATTTATTTATATAAAGAATACTTATTAGCACTAGCGGATCCTGACATCGATAATGGAGAGTTTCTGCAAAATTATTTGTTTAATATTATTGGTTTCATGTTAGCTTTATTTTTCTTTACGTATATATTTTAAGCGGATTCGCAAAATTAATTTCCTGTAATTTGCAAGAGCAGAGTTTTAACATTAACTCCCCCCCACCCCCTCAGCATCTGCCAGTGCTTATTAGTATACAGTTTTTAAATATCCTTTATTAAGATATATATATACAAAGACTTTGCTTCACAAAGAAAACACGTCATTATCAAAAAGCATCAATTAAGTGGCACATTTAGTAGGTAAGATCCAAGACCAAGAGATCTCTTTTGGATTTAACCGGATAAACCTATTTTCTTATACATTTTGCAAAATAGTCCCAACATATCAAATCAGGACAACAAGTCATCACTAGTTTTACTACACTGAAATATTTAAAATATGATGCTTGAAAATATTATTTAATTATTAATTAACATTAATTATTATTAATACAAATATTGAAAAATATAAAATGTAAAAATTTAATATAATATCTCTTAATATTCTTATATATAAAATATAGAAATTTTATATATATAATTTAATTTTAATAGATCTATTTTTTCTTTTCCTTATTCTATTTCTCTTTCTTTCAATATGATTCGCACAAAATAATTTCTCGTATACAATAATTGCATAATAAATAACAAGCAACAAAACATTACATAAAAAATATAAGTATAAAAAGTATAAATTACTTACATATTGACCGATACACTCATCTTTTTTATCCCCTTGAGGAACCGCAAGAGCCATAACAATTATGATAAGAATAGTGAAAATAATGTACTTCATCTTTTTAATATTTATTTTTCCTATAATTTATATTGTTTATAAACGGTCTGTGTTATACTATCTAATAAAATAATAATAATACTTTTCTAAAAATAGCTTTATTAATTTATTATTTAAATCGTAAATCACACTAATAATATTAAAGATCTAAAAATTTATTATAATGTGAAATAATTTGAATAAATATGTTGGGTATTTTATATGAAATGAAAATCGTTGCTATAATACCGATTATTGCTAAGTAGATTGTATAATACTTACTTGTATGTAGAACGAAATTGTATTTCTTTTGATTTCTAGAACTTAGATCAATCGTATTGCGTCTTAATCAAATATTGCAACTAACGAATGTAAATTGAAATAAACTTATGGACTCTTTTCGGTTGCATGTCGTTTATATATCTTTGTTCCTTAGTCATGGGTCTTTTCATATACTTATCGACATGCTTGCGCAAATGCATATGCAATTACCTTATCACATATCGATTATAAATGACGAAATAGATAAATTATTTTTCTAACATTGCTGTATATAGCTTCCTATATATTAATTTGATATAAAATAGGTAAGTTGCTTTTCTAGCTTGCTACACAAATCGCGATTGATGATCCCAATTAATATTTGATTTTCAGAAACCATTCATATCTTGTGTCATTTGTGCAAATATCATGACATTATTTACATTATTTAATACATATAAGAAAAAATATTTGTGCTGTAAGACTTGTCACAACAAAAAATAATAGCTTTATCTTTAGTCTATTTAAAAAGTCTTTAGTCTATTAAAAATAATTTTTAACAATAAATTTTTAATAAAGTTTCTTTAATAACTCACTTCACTTTTGATGAAACATTATTTTTTAATAATTACTCCAAATAAGATGATTTATCACTGAGTTCTTTAAATAAACACGTATATTCAGTTGTAATAGCATATTTTTTAACATGGAAAATAAAAATGAAATTGATTGTGGCAAATTATAATGACTACATTGTATGATAAAGCTCAAATAATCAATTCAAATCCTATCATTATATAATTTTTAATTATATCACAATATCGAACAATTATCATCTTGTTACAATTTACGTTGAAGATGTGCGCAAACTATAATATAAAAACATATGTGTAGAATACATTTTATAATCTTCATAATTTTCACAATTATAATGATTTTAATTTCTAATTAGTTGGTGAAATAAAAAAAGGCAAATATATATTTGCTTATTCGTTGTATGGCAAAATTTCTTTCATATTCTTCCTTTTGGAAGAATATGAAAGAAATTTTGCCATACAACGAATAAGCAAATATATATTTTTATAGTAGTATGAATTATATTTAATAAATTCGTATTTAAATTAAATAAAAAATTTAATCATGGATCTATGAAACGTAATTCAGGTCAATCATTCATTCCTCATTCATTATTTGGTTACTGAAATTGTATTTCTTGGTCTTCAGTGGAATTCTGTCGAAGAATCCTCTAGTGCAACGTTTTGCCCATGGATTACACATGAAACCGGTGCAACAATTATTGAAACTGTCACACTGTAAAAAGATTACACGAAATTATATGAACGATTTTATTTGATATCATTTTTGAAAACCGTTCAACTTACTGACAACACATATATATATATATATAAATTTTGCCATACAATTTGATATGATAATTATATATCGTGAAGCAAAATATATAATATTAAATTACATAATTATAATATTAATGACTTTGATGATTAGTGCACACTAATTTATTACACTAATCAAAAATTTACACATATACATATTATAATTTTGAATGATAATATAGCGGTACTTACGACTGCACCAGGTGGAGAACAAGCCATGACTAAAGTCATTGCGAGTAATGTGAAACAAAGAAGCAAAACGAGTTTCCCCATCTTAATAGTATTCACTGATTTCTTTTAAAAGACTAAAAAAATTGAAAGTTAAAGATAGAGAGAAACATTTTAAATTAAAAAGAAATGGAAACTCGTATATTCTCACCTGCTCCTCTTCAAAATAATCTGTGAATCTTTCCGATAATTTCTCAGCTTATATACAGACCGATATATGTACAAGTATATGATACATATAGAATTGTGAAATAATAATCTTTTCAAATATCTATTCGTATAATGCACCTTGATGATCTTAATAAATCTTATGTTATTTATGTGCGGCTCATGATAATATCATGATTATAAGATTTCATGAGTTGTGTAAATAGCATGGGATTCAAACGAATAAATACATTACGTAAAGCTGTATGCATTCTATAAGATATTTTTACAAAAATTTTTTCAAAAAAATTACAAACCTTCTGCAAAATAATATCGTGATAACAAAAGCCTTTCTCATGACTTACATTAACGCAATTACGTCATTTTTGTTTATTTGATTTTGCAGCCACCTAATATATTCATTGCGATCAAAATAACTGATACTCCGAAAGATTTCAGTATCTGTAAGGCATTTAACTTTATTAAATCTAATATATGCACACTTATTTATATTAAGACAGGACTTGAATGCAAAAAAAATCATTTTTGTCAATAAAATATTATTAAAATTGATAATTAATATCAAATAAATCTCTCGGTATTTTTTTTTTGTTTCTTTTCTTAAGCGTAAATTGTTTTCTGAATTTATTATTTTTAATCTAATCATCAGAACAAGAACACGTATTCTTGTTTTCTTTGTTCAAAGCATGATAAAATGAGCAAACCAAAGAGGACATAATATTTATCATAAACATAAATTACTCTAGATTTAATATGATAAAGATAAATAAATTTATAAGAACATACAACAATAGTTTAATAATGCTACGGAGAGAATCAAATTTTTATTTGGATCAAAAAATTAAATCAATCATTAACTCAATATGTCTCATAATAATACATTTAATATATATTAGTAATGTTATATTAGTAATGTTAACTAAACATACGCACATAAGATAATCTAACTAAAAATAAATTATTCTATATATCGGTATCGTTAGTTAGAATTATTATTTGATATTACCACTAAAATCAAAATTGGTTTAGCATTAATGCAGCTAACAGTTTGCAGTCTTTGATAATCATTATTTTGTTTCCTCGCTATAATGTTATTATTTTGATATTTGGCCGCGATTTCGAGAATGATGTAGCAAAATATAATCACGTTTTGTCAACAGCCATCGTATGCGAGCGTCACGGGTGCGCAGGGTGGTTTGTACATTCCCAACTTTTTATTGTCCGAAAGTGTCACGATTTGATGTTAGTTGTAATCGTCCATTACGTTTTTCGCGCGCTGTCGGCGATAATTGGCGACACCACCGGCGTAATATTTCAGAACACGCGCCGTGTAACACGCTCACGTGTCATTCGGCCTATCAAAACCGCTCTCTAAATTGATTCAATTGATTGTCGTTCCTCCCGTCCCCTTTCTCCCCCCCCCCCCATGAGAGAAACCTTTCCGGATATTTTCTGAAAATTGATGATAGTTTCATGTCTTTTTTATCAAACGCATTATTTATTAACTTAAAATTCAAATATGTTATTTGAATCAATAAAAGATCGAACAGAATCGAATGTAATGGAACACTTAATATCATGGATTACTGACAATTTTTATAAATATAATGTAATTACAATTAATAAACGCTTGTGTGTTATAATAGTTTCTTTTTAAATTTTATGATATAATATTTTATAAAGCCAATAATTAAATTAATTTACTAATATTTATAATATATACAAATATCACGAGATATAAAATATCAAAATGAGATATGGAAAATAAATAGAATAAATATTACCATTTGTTGTTTTATATATTGTTCTATTGTGAAAATGTTTAAAACGTAAAATGTTAGCCAATTTTTATGCTGTTTAATGCTTTAATCGAAATTTTAGTTTTTACTTTCTCTGAATCTTCATGAATTTCAGATATTTTCAGCTAGCTAAATTAACGATATCAATGGTACATGGTTATTATAATGAATTGGATATTATATAATTTGTATAATTTGTACATATAGTATTAATTACATACATTAATAACAAACAACATCGATGCAACATACTGCCAAAAATATGTAAACGCCTAATTCCCACTGTCACTCAATCTGCGCGCGACCAAACTCCCCATAGCTACTATAAATAATATTTTCTCTCTATACGTAAAGTTCGCTTAATTGAGTGCGCCATTATCTGTAATTTAATGCAATGTAAACGATTAAAACGTTTATCAAATTCGGTCTTGATTCTGGACTAACTGATGTATGATGAATCATTTCATTATGACGATAATTGCAATTATAGAGCAGTATGTAGTTGGGCGAAAATCCGGGAGAAAAATTCTTCAGCTCGTGCTACGAAGGCAAAACATTAAATGGAGGAATTCGATAAGGTGGGAAATCCTAGTACGAAACGGCAGAAATTGCATTTTTCCATGTGAGATGCATTCGGCGAAGCCTGCGTTTCATGATAAAATTACTGGAAATGCGGGGTTATCTCGATGCGATTCAAGCATTTGAAATTATCGACGTATGTATGTACGTCGTATGTCGTATATATGTCGCAGTGCATAATAACATGTGTCGCGAGATTATTAAAGTGACGTGAATCATACTCAAGAATCAGAGTCTCTCTTTCGAAGAAGTGATAATGTTTGCATATAGCATTATCTTTTCCACGTATTTTACAACGAGTTCTGTTTTATAAATGATCACTTGTGCCGCCTATAAATTACGATTATTCTGAAACAAACTTACTGTGTATGAGAAAAAGCATATGAGAAGCTCTCTGCTTGCTAATTAATTATAAAATTCTGTATTAATTTTATATTAAAAAAATCAAATATATGTTATCAAAAACGCGATGAATAAACACGTTTCTGTTATGATCTCTTTTTGAAGATGTCTTATTTCACAGAGCGATTATAATAGAAATGTCGTGTTTTGAACGTGGCAAATGAATTACCTTTGCCTCCACAGGCTGACGTTTGAATTAGACTTGCGTGCAGAGAGTGTGTACATTTATATCCCTTTCCTTAACACAGTGCAACATCTACACGCACTTCCGACTTACATTTCCGAGCTAACCACTCCTTTCCGTTACACGCGACGGCTCAACCCCTAAGAAACCATTAAGCTCGTTATGAAATTACCATAAATGTCCAAGATAAAAAAACTACTGCCAGCTATGTTTAGTACCCGAAAATGTTAATTGCGGAATTTTTAATATAAAATAAATTATGTGAAAGAATATATATACATATATTTTTTCTTTATTCATATTATCTTACAAAACTATGAGCAAAAGAGATGTATTATTTCTTAATTGTTCTATATATTAAATTGATAATTTGATAGAATATGTATTATAAAATACAAGGAATTTCATTGAATATGGTACATTATTATATAATTAAAGCAATTCAAATTTGATTAAAACAATGTTTTCATTAATTTAGGTACTTGTTAAATTAGAATTTGAAAATTAAGACAATATATTTGTAGTTGATAATTTTTTAGTAACAGTAAATTATTGCCAATCTTTGTATGCAATAATATTATTCATAAAATTAAAGTGTATAATTTCAATTGGAAAATCAGTTCCAATAAGAAATCAGTTCCAATAA